CCCGAAGATGCAGCATGCCATGCCACAGAACGTGTTTCTAATAGAAAGGGAGAGGCGGGAGGAAAATCGAGAGGGTAAATGGATTATTGAGGTGGGGATGGCAAGAGGACGGCTGCAAGCAGCAGAGATAAGTAGTTGCTGGTGAGGAGTTCATGTTGCATGCTGAATAGGGTTACGGTCCTGGGGTGGTATGGCACATGGCACGGCCGCTTAGTGTCAGGGACTTCAAGTTGTGGCGGTCAAAAGGAGGAAGTGAAGGGAATTAACAGGGTGCATCACGGCTTACTGTCAACCCTAATCACGGCTTACTCTCTGCGTCCACCACGGGAGCAAAGCGTGCCGCGAGGGGCCGCATGATGCAGCAGCGCGCCACCACCAGCGCCACCACCGCCGATCTCGCCGCCACCATCACGTCGCCGCGCCTCCCCATCGCCGCGGCGGACCGCGGCCCTATCTATGCTCTCCGCGCGCGCTATCTGCCGTACGCTCGTTTCACGTCGCCGACGGACACCCCCGCCCGGTGAACATGTCGGTCTTGCCCGAACGCGGCCCTGCCGCACGCACGGCTCCCGAACGCCCTGCACGCGGCACGCCTTGCCCAAACGTGCGTGACCCGTACGTTGGAGCTTCTTTGCTGTTGCGTGCTCGTGAGCCGTTGCTAGGATCAACGGTTACAGTTCGTTTACTGATTCAGCCGCATGGCGAGGCGACTGGTAGTGCGGAAAAAAACTCGTCTTTGCCTTCGTCTCGAACACGCAATCAATGGGGAGTGTGATAGAGTGATGTGTGAGAACAACCAGCCCATAATAGCTCGCGCAATGTATTGGCTTCTTCACCTACCAACGTTTTGGATATGTGCAAACAGCTCTCTGAACCGCATGCTATCATCGCCGTTCTTGAATCAAAGCCCGGAAGAATTTGACGACTTGGGCTGACCAGTGTGGTTGGTGGTGTGGGAGAAGCGCTGGGTGCAGAGTTTAACCCGTTACAGTGAAACGCCAGACATGGCGTTGTGTCCATATTTCATGACTTCACATGTTCCATTAGGCCAAACTAGCTATGTGGGTGAAGACTTTACGATAAATGTATATGCATCATGTGTGAAGAATAATTAGAGTTACGAACTTCATCATACTGGGGAAAACAGCATCAAGCGCAAACTTTGAACGTCGTTTCAAGGACATACAGTGTAGGACGGAGGAGGCATAGAGGAACTTGAGGAGGTCAAGCTTAGGGTACATTCCGCTGTAGAATATGTCCCAATCGATGCGTCCCAATCGATTGAGACGCGTACGTACAGCATATGCTGCCAGGTGTCGGAATGCCGTGCCGCCCGTGGTTGTCGCCGACTGTATTTATAATTGGGTGGCGTGTATCACGGAGCAATCGCCAGCTAATTAATACACACCCAACTAATCGCACGCGGCTCCAGATTTCATCTCATGCAACATGTATCTGGACGTCATTTTTGGGCCCACTCTATCCCCATCAACGCGTATACAGCTTGCCGTTTGGTCGAAAAGACATTTCCACAATTATTAACGGGGACGCGCACCCCCCCGACATTTCGCCTTCCCCTAGTTCCAGTGCACCTCCCCCACAACTCCTCCGCCTCCCCATCCCTTACGAGGTCAAGTTTGTGCAATAGCTGCAAAGTACCAATCTGTGATTCTCTCACAGCCTCCGCTCCCTCTAGTTCTAGATCTAGACACCTTCTACCCACCAGCATGGCTCGTAAGCGTAAGGGGCAGGCCCTTAACGACTGCCCCAAGGATCTAAACGACATTGCGTACGTCCGCTAGATGAACCAGCAGATCGCCAACGGTCGCCTTCCTAGGGGATTATCCGCACCGCCCGTGTTGACGGCCAGGGATCCACTGCCCAGTCGCCCACATCGGCCCCGTCACGTGTGCGCCGTCAGCCTGCAAGGACGGCAGCAACGCACCGGCCAGTCGTGGAGCAATACGATGACGATGCTGACGACGACGAACGCGAAGAAGAGGATGACTCCGATGACGAGAAGGAGGAGCCCGAAGACCAGGGAATGTCGCCCAGCGACCACGACGAAGACTACGACGACGATGAGGATGCCAAGGAGGATGCCCCGGAGGAAGCACAGCCTGTCGCTCCGCCGCCAAAACGGAGCGCCGCACGCAAACAAGGGTCTGAAAAGGGCAAAGGCAAGGCTGCGCAACCTGCAGCGCGCCCGGAGCCGCGGAAGAAACGTGCGGCAGCACCTCTCGAGCGTGGCTTATGGTCTGACAAGGAGAGCACCATTTTCACCGCAGTGAAATGGTTCTTGAAAGATGAGCTCGAGCCACTCAAGGGGAAGCAGGTGACGCAATATTGGGCCCGGCTGCTTGCACACATCAAGGAGTCAAACCCCGGATGGTGCAGGGGAGTCAACGCATTGCAGAAGCAGTGGCGTAACTTGACGCTCCTTTGGCGGGAGTACAAGCGTGCCGACAGGAGTTCGGGCAACGGCTCGGTGGAGAAACCACCATGGTATCCGTACATGGAGCTGTACAACCAAGACACCGCCGCAGCCGCACCGCATGCGGTGGACGGTGGAGGCGCGACCAACGTCAACGTACCGGGCGGCATGGAGGTTCCAACTTCGTCCCAGCCAGGCACGTCAACGCCATGTTTTACGGCTGAGACATGATCCCGGTTCCATGTTGTTTGGTTCGCATGCTTGCCATACAAGTTTTATTTTCAAACTGCTGTTTAGACTATCGGCTAACATGCACGATACATCGTCATTGTGTGCACCTACCAATCTAAACTACTATCTTCCCGTCTTCTCTTTTTTCTCAGCTCCGCCGCCGACGAACACTGCCACACCCAAGCGCGCCCGGGTGCATTAGACGGCTACCATGCAAGCGGTGATGCTGGTGTCCGCCACCATCAAGGACTGCCCCGGTGATGCGATGAGAGTCGTTGAAGGCCTCGTCCGAGAATGGATGGCGCAAGACCTGCGACTTGCCCACGAGCGCATGACTGAATCGGCTCCCCCGGATGTGCACCGTGCGCCGCCAGATTTCTCCCCTCCACTGCCACACAAGGAGTCCGCGCCACCCCCCGAAGCCGCACAGCTGCGGGAAGATATGGGCGACGTCAACACCGTCACTCCATCTGATGAGGATGTGGAGATATGGGTGCGCGGCGCCGCCGATTAGAGTAAGAGTCTTGGAGTGCCTCTCCCAGTCGTTTCCGCCTCTCCCTCAGTGCCTGTTGTGTTGGTGGGACACACGGTTCCCACTTGTGTGTCGTAATAGCTCCCCACGTCCACCATGGATCGCGGTTGCGGGGAAGGTTCTCCCAGGCCATGTTTTTGCGCCTTACCTCCTGCATCTCTTCACACATGTTGTGCATGATCACACAACACGCGGCCCCAGCGAGAATGCGCCACAACCTGCAGTCGTTGCGCTGGGCAAAGATGCGCCATCTCCCTTTGAAGGCGCCGATGCACCTCTCCACCGCCATGCGTGTGGCGCTCTGACAGTAGTTGAAACATTGTGCCCAGTCGTCCATGAGGTCCTCTCCTCGAGGGGCATGCAGGGGTGTTAGGCAGTATTCTCGTAGAGGGTAGGCTGCGTCCCCGACAATTTGGTATGGGGCTATGTCCCCGTTGTGTAACCTCTCAAGTAGTGCAGACTCTTTGAAAACCCGCATGTCGTGCGCGCTACCGGGATAGCCGATCAGGTAGTCCCATATCCTGCCTCGTGCATCACACGAGAGTTGGAGTTGTACGGCATAGGCCGACTTCCTTGTCCAGTACTCCGCTCTGTGCCCTTCCATCCCTTTCATGTGGATATGAGTCACGTCCACAGCCCCCACCACAGCAGGTACACCTTTGATGGCAGCAAATTCCCGTGCCATCTCAGGAAGCTCTTCGTGTGTGGGGAAGCGCACCCAGGCGGCCTTGAAGATTGAGGGGAACTCAGTGAGGAACACGTCGACAACCTCGTGGCAAAGTGTCTTAGAGACGCCGAACAGGTACGACATGTCGACGTAGGAGATTCCTCACGCCAAGTACTTGATAGGGATGAGCACCGCGGTGTCTATTGTGAGTATTGACCAATGCACTATTGGCTCCAGATAGAGTTGCATCCTGGTTTTGATATGCTCAAGTATGGGGCGGTTTATCCTGAAAAGGTCTTGGAAATCGTTCTCCCGCATGTGCTGCAGGTCTTCAACCCACAATGCATAACGTCGCCGCTGTACTCTCGCTCTGTGACGGCGGTTCTCCCCGTAATCGTCCCCGAGCGATGAGGACTGCTCGTCAGCGTCCTCGAACACTCCCGACTCTATCAAGCCTACGAAGGACTTCGCGACGTTTTCGTAGAAAACGGTGTAGTAGTAGGTGACCCATGCGACGAGGAGGCGTAGGATGAAGGGGATGGTTTTAGGCTCTGCCATGGTGTGTGGGTTATTCTGGCGTAGTTATATTGTATGTGCCCACTTCGATTAGCAATAATGTCTGCGTAGTATAGGAGTAGGGAACGTACTTTATTGGCAATTATTGATACTGCGGACATGTACTGTATTGTCCGCGCCCTCCCCGTACATAACCAAGTCCCTTCCGCGGATCTGGAACGCCGGTGTTTGTGCTGTTGGTGTAGGTACGTGCCAGATTGGACATTTACCAATCATAGTGGGTCGCATATAATTGTCGCATTGATGCCCAAAGCCGCAATACATCAGTCGATAGGGACATGCAGGATCTAGAAATTTGAGCGCGACTCGGCAAAAGTGGGATTGGTACACATCGATTGGGACACATTCCACAGCAGAATGTACCGGTACCCTTAATGTTATGCTATGCTAGTAAAACATCGCAATGGAGCATAAATATCGAATACCGTACAACTCAAGAACAACAATACCGTACTTATGATATCATGCCGATACGATAATTAAAGGTGAGTATCTTGTTACCCAAATCATTCCCGCGTTAAAGTGGGTCACTCGCAAGTGATCTCCACACCCATGGCAGCTTACCGGGCAGCAAGGGCTCTCTTTGAAAAGAAGTAGCGTGTGGGGGGTCGATTCTTGAGGCGCCTCAGAATCGCTAGTGACAACGCCAACGCCAGCTGCAGCAGCACTGCCAGTGGAAGCAGCTGCAGCAGCAGCAGGTTTGGAGGTGCCTGGAGAACGGAGAGTGCCTCCTCCACCACTGCAGTATCTGGTGGTTCACAGGGTGGGTTGGTGGATGCACGGTGGATGAGGAGAGGGAGGGAGGGTGGGAGGGAGGAGGCGATGCATGTAAAGAAGCAGCATATTGGAGAATGAGTGCTGGGTATTGGTGGAGAGCAAGCAGGCATTAAGGAGGCTTTGGCGGACAGAAGGGACAATATGCAGATAGAACGACCTTATCGTGCGAAAAGAAAGCACCAGAGGAAAGACAAGAAAGACAAGGTGCAGCTTTGGACGGGCGTATGGTTGAAAAGGAACATACACAAGCTGTGCTGCTGTGAAGGTTCGTCTCCACCGGTAGCATTGAGGGGGAGACGGCTTCCGGTGGCTGTGAGGTCGCTGTAGCTCCATGGAAATATGTTGAGATGGGCAGTATGGTCGAACGAGGGCAGCTCTCTCGTAAACTGGTTGCCCTCAAAGTCTCTGTGATGCCAAGCGAAGGTGGGAGGGGAAGATTGGAAGGGAAGGGGAGTGGCGGGGAACGAGAGTGACGTGAAAGAGGGAGCAAAGGGAAAGAGGGGGTGATAGGAAAGGAGATGGTTTTTTCTGTCTATGCTGTCTGAGATGGACTTTTGAGCCGTTGATTCCACATTCTGTGTTGAAATTCTGTCTTTCTGTGTGAATTTTTCCGGCCAAACAGAAAGCAGTGGCTGGCACGTGACGGAGGTCGAAAACCTTCACTGGGGGCCGTGTAGGCAGCTACCGCGATAAGATGAGGATCAGGATCCGCATGTGTGGTTGAGTAGCTCTGATACCATGTAAGAACTGAAGGTAGGGTCAAAACATTATTTTAAGTAGCTCAAGCCTCCTAAGCACATTGGAAAATGGCAAGAATAGATGGGTAGGGAATCAGCGGCAATCCCCAATCAGATCGCCTGGAATCTCGAATTGGTGGGTAGGAGATTTCGTTATATCACATCTGGGTAAGGTTGGGATGTTGATGTAACGTAACATGCAACACTGAAAAACTACAACTACACTAAAACGGAATACAAAAAGGTACAGATACAAAGCTGAGACTCAAGGTTAACTCTAACATCACCCACTCTCTTGATTTCTCGTCCTCTCACTCTCCCACCCTTTTACTCATTGAAGACAAACATTGCTGATCATCCCACAGCACCTTGCATGCCTTCCCATAACCACTCACAACTCGCAGAAACGAATGTGGTTGCAGAATGTCCCCAGCATGGAGCCTGAGAAAGCGTTGTCGTTGAGTTTCCTGGGGGGAATATTTTCAGCATGTCCGTGCACGGAGATCATTTGGGGGTTATTATTATCTAACTATAAATTTGTTTACTCTTATGGTACAATTTAGCTGGCAGCGGGCAGAAGGGAAGGTTCAGGCGGCGTAAGGATGGGCGCACAGGATGCGAAGTTCGGTGAGGCGGCCAATGAAGGTGGGAATGGTGCCACTCAGGCTGTTGCCCTGTAGGTCCCTGCCATGGCATGTGATGGGACGGGATGGGATGGGATGTGATGGGATGGGATGGGATGGGACGGGACGGGACGGGACGGGACGGGATGGGATGGGATGGGATGGGATGGGATGGGATGGGATGGGATGGGATGGGATGGGATGGGATGGCATGGCATGGGATGGGATGGCATGGCATGGCATGGGATGGGATTGGATGGCATGTGATGGGACGGGATGGGATGGGATGGGATGAGATGGGATGGGATGGGATGGGACGGGATGGGATGGGATGGGATGGAATGGGATGGGATGGGATGGGATGGGATGGGATGGGATGGGATAGGATGGGATGGGATGGGATGGGATGGGACGGGATGGGATGTGATGGGATGGGATGGGATGGGATGGGATGGGATGGCATGGGATGGGATGGGATGGGATGGCATGGCATGTGATGGGACGGGATGGGATGGGATGGGATGGGATGGGATGGGATGGGATGGGATGGGATGGGATGGGATGGGATGGGACGGGATGGGATGGGATGGGATGGGATGGGATGGGATGGGATGGGATGGGATGGGATGGGATGGGATGGGATGGCATGGCATGGCATGGCATGGCATGGCATGTGATGGGACGGGATGGGATGGGATGGGATGGGATGGGATGGGATGGGATGGGATGGGATGGCATGGCATGGCATGGGATGGGATGGGATGGGATGGGATGGGATGGGATGGGATGGGATGGCATGGCATGGCATGGGATGGGATGGGATGGCATGGGATGGGATGGGATGGGATGGGATGGGATGGGATGGGATTGGATGGCACAGGATGGGATGGGATGGCATGGGATGGCATGGGATGGCATGGGATGGCATGTGATGGCATGGGATGGCATGTGATGGCATGTGATGGCATGTGATGGCATGGGATGGCATGTGATGGCATGTGATGGCATGTGATGGCATGTGATGGCATGGGATGGCATGTGATGGCATGTGATGGCATGTGATGGCATGGGATGGCATGGGATGGCATGTGATGGCATGGGATGGCATGGGATGGCATGGGATGGCATGGGATGGCATGTGATGGCATGGGATGGCATGGGATGGCATGGGATGGCATGTGATGGCATGTGACAAACAAGCTACCGCATGAGCTACAGTATGTGCAGTATGCTTTTGAGTCGACTCAAGTGCAGTGGCTCACCGTGGAAACAAAGTACTGGATATTCCGAAACAAGGATCAAGAGACACGTGTTGGAGTCCAAATCACTCACTCATTGTCAGATGAAGAGACTCCACGCAGGCAGATCGTCCAGGCTAGCTACTAGCCCATAAGGCCGCCTAGCCCATAAGGCCGCCTAGCCCATATGGACTCCTCCACTCGCGCCCTCACTCATTCATCCACTCACTTATTCCCTGGATTTTTTGCTCACTCGCGCAACCCATCACCTCACTCATAGTTCCATACCCATCCTTCTGAACTTCTACGCGATCTAATCAGAAGACCCTCGAGCTCCACAGCCTACTTCAGTTCACAACTCCACTCCAACCCGATAAACCTACTCTACTCTACTCGATCTATCTCAAGCTCCTTTCCAGATGGTTCCACCCAACCTCTCTATCAGCCTCTTACTTTCCCCCACCCCTTTACACCCTCAGCAGGGACCTAGCGTGCTATCTATCACATTGAAACACTCCACTCCACTCCACTCCACTCCACTCCATGCGTGCCTACCCCATCACCACTCACAACATCTCCAGCTGCTTGAGGCTGCTGATTGCCTCTGGAATGGATCCTGAGAGACCGCATTCGCGAAGATTCCTGGAGCATGGAGAGGTTGGGGGGAGGGCGGAAAGGAAAAGGGGTGAGCAGGATGGATTCTATCAAAGTGTCAGTTCGGAAAATTGAAACTCCAACTTGAAGAAAATAATAATATTTTTTATCTACTTATAGGGTACGCATCGGAGGTGAAAGGCAGGGAGGAAAACTATGACTAAGACACATGGAGGGATTGGAAGGTGGAAAGCTGAAGTGGAGGATGCACGGGGGCGGAGCAGTGCAGAGATCCATTTTCTTTGGCAGATTATGCTGCTACGAGAGAGAAGGGAAGGTTGGTGAGGAGGGCAAACGGGCGCACAATACGGTGAGTCTGGTGAGGTTGCCGAGGCACGCGGGAATGGTGCCACTCAGGCTGACGCTGTCTTTCAAATTCCTGACGCGTGATGGCGGGGCACGGGATGGCACGGGATGGGAACAAAGCTCCTAGAGTATGTGTGAAAGCGCATGCCAGTGCTGTTGGTTTAGGGTTCTTAGAGCACCCAGAGCACTGGGGTACTAGAGTCAAGAGAAGCCACCATGTCTCTGGAGAGGTCTCGAAGGCAAATCATAAAATAGTTACACAAACACAAGTGAAGATCTAAAAGGGGCAAGCGTGTTAAGTAAAAACATGGCTATCTAAATACAATAAATGGTGCATTTGGCTGGCTAAGGTAGACAGTTAACTCAGCCAAATGAGGAATTTGGTCGGGGTTTATGAAAGCAAAACTGAGAGAAAAGGGAGATCAGAAAATTCCGTGTGCCTGCATCTCTTCAGCTAGCAGGCGTGTTGGGAAAACTCCATGAGCTAGCAGACGTGTTGAATTGAAAATCTTTCGTGCAAAAGAGAAGAATGTGTGCCGTCGCCTTTAGAATCGGTTTTTGAAGGCATACGAGACGTTGGCTCTCCCCCTCAAGACTAATGGCTTGCAATGCTCTCCAGTCCAGTTGACCCGGTAAGGTGGCTTGGGGCATCGGGCAAGAATGGCTCGCAGGATTGATTGGAATGCACTACTAGAGCAACTTGATTGGAAACAATCCAGGGGAGCAACTGCACAAATGACCGACCAAGTTAACGTCGTCAGTTAGGTTGGAGCACCACCTTCATCCCGTGGAAAAGCTCACCTTCATCCCGTGGAAAACCTCACCTTCATCCCGTGGAAAACCTCACCTTCATCCCGTGGAGTGCAATGCGGGTATCCCTCTTCCTTACAGATCTTGCAGGTTGGTGAGCGCTCCTATCGACTCGGGGATGGACCCTGACAACGTTGGCTCCGTGATGCGTCTGCGATCATGTGCGGCACAGTGCGGTGACGTGTGGCACAGAGAGATCCAGTGAGGTTATAGTGTTTTCTTTGGAGCGGCATGGAGGCGAGGAGACAAAGGGGGATGAAGCACAGAGAGGAGCGGTGGAGGGGAGAGGTGGAGGTTGGGTGTGGAAAGGTTGATACAGCATGGCAGTGCCTCACATGCACATGCAGTGTATGTGTCTGCAGTGCTTCGTGCATTCTTGCTGATGGGAGCCCATTGCCTCATTCACCCTGCAGCACTTTCTCTCTCATTCTCTCACAAACTCTCCGACATTCACTCAATAACTCACACAAGCACTCACAGATCTACCACACCTGATCATCCCACAGCACCTTGCATGCCTACCCCATCACCACTCACAACTCCCTTAGCTGCTTGAGGTTGCTGATTGCCTCTGGAATGGAGCCTGAAAAGTTGTTTCCCCGGATGTCCCTGGTGCATGGAGAGAGTTGGGCGGAAACAGGAGGGGGGTAGGGCAGAGAGGAGAGGGGAGTCATGGAAGAGGAAAGGCTGGAAGGGAAGGTACAGGGAAGAGGGGTAAAATGTGTAGAATGAGGATCGGTGAACTTGAGGCACAATGAGAGAAGAACAATATATCCTTAGTAGGAAGATGGTACAAGCATGAAAGGCTAGAGCAATGTCCTTTCCAAGGATGAGTTCTAGAGAAGTGGGAAGCCACATTTATGTGGCTGAACTCTTGAGGCTAGCTGCAGCACCTCAAAGCTGAGGGCAGGGCTAGCCAACCTTGCCAAGCTAGCAATTGAGGCCACATGTTGCACATGTGGGCCAGGCTGGAACAACAGCCTACATGGCAGCATGTGGCACACCATAGGAGCCAACAAGGTGAGTATGGGATGGGTGGACAGATGGCAATGCCAACTGTGACCACACTTCACTGTGGGTGAGTGTGGTGGAGTGTGGGAGTGTCATGTTCGGCATAATGAGAAGAGAAGGTGCTGCCGATGAGAGTTGAACCCGCGACCACTAAGACCAAAGGTACCCACTGGGACATTCTTGCTTCCACAACACCCCCCCTCAAGGATGTCCCCGGGGTAGGGTGCCTCAAGAGGAAACATGGGTGAGACCGAGAAGACCACGGATGCGAAGAAAAGGGTCACGGGGCAAAGGCTTGGTCCCAATGTCAGCGAGGTTGTCTTGAGTAGGAACATAGTGAAGGGTGATGGAGTGGTCGGCAACATGATCGCGAATGAAATGGTGCTTGATGTCGATGTGCTTGGCCTTGGGATGAAAGACGCCATCGTCCTTGGCGAGAATGATGGCACTGTTGTTGTCACACGAGATACGGGTGGGGCCGGTAGGGGGAAGTCCAACTGCAGTAAGGAGCGAACGAAGCCATAATGCCTCGTGCACCGCGGCGCCCAGAGAGTAATATTCAGCTTCACATGAAGAGGTAGCAACGACGGCTTGGCGTTTGGACTGCCAAGAGATGAGTGACGGACCGAGGAAGAACAAGTAGCACGTAACGGAGCGACGCAGCTCCCCCTCCGGTCCCCAAGAGGCGTCACACCAGCCATGAAGTTCGAGGGTGTCGGGAATGCCACCAAGGAGAAGCCCAAGGGAGGTAGTCCCTTTCAAGTAGCGAGCAATGCGTTTGGCAGCCGAGACGTGAGGAGTAGACCAATCGTGAAGGTGACGAGCAAGAACTCCAGCGCTATATGCGAGGTCGGGACGGGTCCCCACCATGGCATACATGATGGAGCCGACAAACGAGGTGTAAGGGAAGGAGGAGGAGTGCGGGGAGGAAGTCACGGGTGGCTGAAACCTTGTGTCCATGGGAGTGGCAGCGGGGTTCAGTGGAGAGAAGGAGTAGGTGTCTAGAATGGAGGTGATGAATTTGGATTGATGAAGGTGGAGAGTGCGGGAAGTTCGATCACGAGTGATGTGAAAGCCAAGGTAGTAGGAGAGAGGTCCGAGGTCACGAAGTTTGAAGCGAGATGAAAGGGCATGCTTGAATGAGGCAAGAAGAGAGGAGGAGGAGGAGAGAATGATGAGATCGTCAACATAGACGAGAAGCATGAAGAAGGATGCAGCTGTAGGCCGATAAGGTGAGTGAGGAGGAGCAATGAAGAGGCCGGGGTCCGCACGAGCAGCAAAGAGGTGAAAGGCAGCAAGCTCCTCACGAAGCTTGCGGTACCAGCATCGCGGAGCTTGCTTCAACCCGTACAGCGGTTTGTGCAAGAGACAAACTTGCTCAACACCATGGACCGCCGGAAGGTCATAACCGGGAGGCTGCATCATGTAGAGAATCTCATCAAGGGTGCCGTTGAGGAAGGCGTTGGAGATGTCCAGCTGATGGACGTCCAGGTTGAAAGCGGCAGCTATGGTGAGAAACAAGCGGAGGGTGGCGAAGCGGACGGTAGGAGCAAAGGTGTCATGAAAATCAACACCATCACGTTGCTTGAAGCCTTTGACAACAAGGCGGGCTTTGCGGCGTTCAATAGAACCATCAGCGTTCTCCTTGACCTTGAAAATCCATTTGCATGGAATCGGCTTGCACTTGGGTGGTCGAGGAACAATGTTGTAGGTGTCATTAGCGTGCAGGGCAGCGAGTTCCGCATCAGCAGCCTTGATCCATTCGGCAGCATCAGGGCCGGTACGAGCCTCATGAATGGTTTGAGGTTCGTAATGATGGTGAAGGGCAGCATTGGCAGAGGTGTTGGAAAGAGGAGGAAGAGTGAAGTCAATGGGTTCGGAAGGGGATGGTAAGACCTTGAGGAAGGAGAAAAGGGAAGGATCGGGAAGAGCTGAGGGGGATGGCGGGGAGGAGCGAGTCGTGCAATGGGGAGGGGGAGGCGAAGAGGGAGGAGAGAAGGATGGAAGGTGAAAGTCTTGCGGCGTCGAGGGCAGAGGAAGGTTGGAAAACAATGGAGGAGGAGAAGATGTGGCTGGTGCGGGCAGGTTTGGGGATTGTGGGTGGGGGTTGGTGGAGGAAGGTATGGTGGGGGAAGGAGAGGGAGGGGAGATTGGGTCCAAGGAAGAAGGGTGTGTAGGAGGAGGTAGTGAGGAGGATGTGGGTGGAGATGACGATGGAGGGTCGCGAGAGTCGTCGGAAGGCGGTGCAGAGGGCTCCATGAAGATGACATCACGAGAAAGGATGACACGGTGCTGAGATGGGATATAGATGCGGTAAGCTTTGGTGCCGTCGAGATGACCATATCCAACCATGATGCCGGCCGTGCTTCGGTCGTCGAGCTTAGAACGCCGTTGGGAAGGAATGAGGACCGAGACGGGTGAACCGAAGATGCGGAGGTGTGATACATCCGGACGTGCACCGGTCCATAGTTCCATGGGAGTCTTAGAAGTTGAACCACCCCGACTAATGGCATGATTACGAAGATAGGCAGCAGTAAGAGCGGCTTCACCCCACCAGCCTTTGTCCATGTGTGCATCATGGAGCATGGAACGGACCATCTCAAGTAAAGTCCGGTTGGCCCGCTCAGCTACTCCATTTTGCTCAGGTGTGTATGGCGTGGAGAGGTGGCGGGCGATGCCATGAGGTGTAAGGAATGAAGTGAAAGCTTTGGAAGTGAACTCCAAGGCACCGTCAGAGCGAAAGGTTTTGATGGTGTGTGGGGAATGCATGTTGTGCACCCGAGTGACGTAAGCCTTGAAGCATGAAAGTGCCTCCGACCGGTGGCGTAGGAGATACACTGTAATGTGGCGGGAGTAGTCGTCGATGAAGGTGAGAAGGTAGCGAGCGCCGCCAATGGTAGTTCCATATGAAAGCGGTCCAGCAATATCTGAGTGAATGAGTTGGAGTGGGGCTGTGGTGCGAGAATGGGACACGCCAAATGGCTGACGTGTTTGTTTCCCACGATAGCACGAGATGCAGGGGGGAATCGAGGTGGAGGAGAGGTGAAGACCGGTGACCAGCTGCTGCCGATGAAGTGTTGACAAGGCCTGCATGTTGAGATGCCCGAAACGACGATGCCAGAGGTACGAGGAGGTGGTGGTGGAGGCTGGACATGCAGTTGGCTTGATAGAAGGAGCAGCACTGCTCCCATGATGCAGTTGAAGATAAAACAGATTGTTGCGGGTGTAGCCCTCGCCAATAGGAACGTCATCAGATGTGAGAACAACGCGCCCAGCAGCGGGGAACGAGACGGCAACGCCGGCAGCACCAAGCGCACGAACAGAGAGCAGGTTGTGAACTGATGAAGGGAGAAATAGAACGTTGTCAAGCTGAATGGTGGTTTCCGATGTTGGTGACCGAAGAGTAGCCACCACCGTGCCGACTCCCAAGACCTTGTAAGTCTCTCCTCCACCAAAACGAACAAGGATCTCTTCGTTGGGCTTCTTGAGAGACGAAAACAGCAAACGATCCGAGCAGATATGGGAGGATGCGCCGCTGTCCACCAGCCACGACGAAGTCCGCTCCATATTGAATGAGGAGGCCGTGAATGCCGATGCGTAGGGAGCCCCATAAGGGAAGAGGAGGAGGAGAAGGAGGATGGTGAGAATGAAGACAGCAGCGACGAGAGGAGTCCATGTGGAGAAGATGGGGTGGTGGCTGGTGCTGACAGCAATGTCCACGTACCGGGAATCAGGTACGGACTGAGGGGTTGATGGGGCAGGAGGTGGTGTGGGGGTCGGAGTAGCTTCAGCAGAGGAGCTGGTGGATACATGCACCGAGGGTTGGAAGACGGATTTCTCCCGTTTAGAGCTTTCTTCAAGCTCTTTCTTCTTCTTCAATTTGAAGCATTCATCGATGGTGTGACCAGTTTTTTTGCAGTAACGGCAGGTGGGCGACTGGCGTGAACCGGAGCGAAGAGGGTGGGAGGGCTGGGAATTGAGGTTGTATGCACCCTCCATGTTACGGCTTGTACCAGATTGTGACCGCTCCCAATCGGCATCGAGTAGGCGTGACTGTAGGTATTCAACCGTCATAGACTTTATGTCTTTCACGGTGCAAATGGTTTCAGTAAGGGTCTTGAACGAGTCCGGAAGGTTGAGGATGATGGAGATTACCACCACCCATGATGGTAGCTCAAAGCCGGCAGATTTGAGTTGGTGTGTAAGGTTTCCAACTCGATCAAAGTAGGAGCGAAGACTTGTTGTTGGGTCCATCCGTGTAGTGATGAGATCCCGGAGGAGAGCCACTTGTGCATGGTTGCCCATGCAGTCGAACCGCGCCATGATGCATCCCCACATATCCTTTGTCGTGTTGGCTTGAGCAAGAGTGAGCGATAGTTGAGGATGGACGGTTGACATGAGAAGATAGTATGCATGCTCCTCTTTTTCTTCATCCGGCAGCGAAGCAATCGAATGGGCTGTCTTAGGGGCTGCACCGCTGTTGCCTTCGGTAGTCTCTCCACCGCTGGTTGTGGAAGAGGAGATTGAAGGACGCGAAGCAACCTTGGGATCTCCAAGGAGGGAGATCAGCCCGAGGACATTGAAGATGTAGCAGATCT